GTAGTCTACCCAGAAGTGCCAGCTGCCATCCTTCTTCTTGACTAGCACGACCGGCGATGCCCATGGACTGCAGGAAGGTTCGATGACGTCTTTTGTGAGCATTTCTTCAATTTCGTGCTGGATAACTTGTCGCTCAGAATTAGACATGCGATAAGGATGTCGTCGGATGGGGCTGGCGTCTCCAGTGTTAATCCTATGAGTTATAAAGGATGTCTGACCCAAAGGGCGGTCATCAAAATCAAAGATGTCGCGGTAGGATTTCAGCAGGTGCCGGATGTCAGCTGTCTGTGCTGGAAGAAGGTCCGGAGCAATCATCTTGTTGATGGTGGCATCCGCTGCGATCTTCAAGGATGAGAACGGAGCAGAGGACAAAGAAGATTCGGCAACGAATGCGGAAATGGCAGCATCTATAGAAGAAACTTTTGCCAAAGTCATACCATCTGGGATAACTTGAGCGCACCAGCTGAAGTTTAGGATCGGAAGAGATGCTGTATTTCCCGTGACTGTCAAAAGTGTGTGAGGCATGGCAACATTTTTGGCCAGCAGAACGTCAGCAATAGGTGTCAACATGTAGTCACCATCGTGAACAAGAGGGACAGATCTCAGGTTCATGTAAGTAACGGCTTGAGGTGCTAGGCGAACGTGATCTGCAGAACACAGACGGGGTTGAGCTGGTGTTGGGTCGTCATGGTAACACGGTAAATCAAGTTGAAGCATGCCGGTTCCACAATCAATAAGAGCAGAGTGGGCGTATAAATAGTCCATGCCAAGGATAAGTTCATAGGAACATTTCTCGAGCACAGCAAATAGCACTGTCGTGGAGCGATCAGCCACACTTATACATGCGGAGCACATTCCAAGCACTGGAAACGTGCCGCCCTCGGCGACCTGGATGAGTGGCACTGTGGGTGGCGTTAAAACTTTCCTAAGGTGGCAACAAAGTTCTGAACTCATCACTGATTTGTGAGCCCCTGTGTCCACAAGTGCAACAACGGGTGTGTCATCTACTTCAACGTCAATAAGGTTGCGTCGAGTCGGCAGCATGGTCAGAGGATTTGGCGGGCAAGTGGTCGATGCAGCATCACCTCTGGGAGCTGCATCATCTAGTTTTCCCGTGGCAGGTAGTCAGTCGGCGAAATTGGGGCGAGCGAGACGACGGGGGACGGGAGAGCGGTGAACGGGACTGGTGAGCATGCAGAGATGGAGAGCGACGACGATATGGCGGCATAGAAGGAACGTTTTCACTGGTGGCCTGAGGTGACTCCCGGTAAGTTTGAAAGCGTCCATGATCCCTCTCTGGCCGATGGGTGTACCCATAGGATGCCTGATGCCAATACCACCGAGTGTTACAATGATGGGCCACATGTCCGATACAGTGGCAGTTGAAACAAATCAGGCGATCGTCAGCAGTCCTCCACTCTGCTGGATTGCGAGGGCGTGCCGGAAGGTTTTGGCTTTGGGCATACGAAACAGAGGGTCGACGACGGTTGATCGGCTGAGAGGGAACTGTAGTGCACTCGGAGGCCAGTCCAGCATTGGAAAGCTCTTGTCGCACAATGGCATGTACCAGTGGCATCATCTGTGGGCTAGAGTCACAGGCATGGGAGCACGTGGACGCAGGAGACAGAGCTTCAAGTGCACGTCTGATGATCTTGGTCACGTGCTCTGCAGTTAACGGCGTCTGTAGTGCAGGCCCGTCTTCGCACGACCAGGTTGCTGCTGTGTTTGGTAGACGAGTGAAATTATGGGTGATACGTCGACTTTTCGCAGCCTCAAAACGCTGGCACTCCTTGATGATGGCATCAACCGTGTTGCAGTCCTTGCATAGGAGAAGGTTGAATTCATCATCTGCAATGCCTTTTAATATGTAAGCTACTTTTTCGGTTTCTTCCATACTGTGGTCTGCTTTTCGGCAAAGGGCAAGCACGTCTTGTATGTAAGTCACGTAGGACTCTGATGACGTTTGCGCACGAGATGCCAACTCCTTCTTAACCGCTGCCTTTCTACCCACAGACTTGCCAAAAAGGGCGCGCATCTTTTCTTTGCACGCATCCCAGCTTCCAATTTCATCTTCATGTTTCTCGAACCACACTTTTGCTGTTCCTTTCAAGTAGAACAGGATATTGGCTAACATAAGAGTTTCATCCCAGCGGTAATTCTTACTTGTACGTTCGTACAACGGCAACCATTCTTCGATGTCGACATTATCCGTGCCACAGAACGTGCCAGGATCTTTTAGCTGCAGAAGGACAACAGTTGTTGTTGTAGTCGCCTCGGCGGGAGCGGGTCCCTGGTTTGCCATGGTGGAAAAATCCAAGCGTCGGCCACTGCGAAGCTCCGTTATATCGTGTTGTACTCCGTACCACCACCAAATGTCATGGGGGTGAGAGAATGAATGAAATAAATATATTTACAAAATATGCAGGGAGAGTCAGAGGCAGCTGCAGCCAAGATGGAGGCCCAACAGCAACAACAACACGAGCACGGTCGCTAACACTATCGTGTAACACTATCTATTGGTTTGTCATGACTGAAACTGGCAGCACACGATGGGGAGGAAGAAACAGCCGAGCCGGCCTACAAGAAAGGACAGAGTCGCTTACTTGCAACTGATTTTTATTGGTAAATTGTATCAACTATATAGTCTCGCGCAAGGATTAAAAAAAAAAAAAAAACACCGGAGGGTGACACCAAGATAAGACACTACTATCACAATAAAAATCTGTTGAAAGTGAGTGCTCTGTCGTCTTGCATTGGCTGGCTCAGCCGTTTCTTCTTGTCCGTTATGCGCTGTAACCGTTAAAGTGCCAACAGAGGACTTAACTAAGTAGCAATTGTGTGTCCTGCACATTACTTTATGCTGATATGTTCATATTATATCAGCATTTATTAAAAGCCTAAGTATTATTCCATGTAATGCAGTTTCCTGTTAAAGATACTTAAAAATGCTAGTGCATTTGTGGAGATTTCTATTTGAAAACCTGAAACTTAGTATCTTTACGGCGCCTTTGAATATTGAGATGGAAAGTGCCACATTGCTTGGATTTGTAATAGACCAGACTGAAAGTTGCAGTGAGATGTGTCTGTAGCGTGGCCTGTGGTCTCTAAAAAATTTGTCTAGGAGTGATTTCTATATTACGTTCATCTACTATAACGTGCTGTCGGCGATATGAAGTTCGTATAGTATATGTAGCTCTATGTGAACCTTAAAATGTTTACTGTATTTTGCCTCAGGATTATCCATCATTATAAAATTGTATGTAACATTAATGTAATGACAAGTTCCAATTTTCAAAATTTAACTGTAATGAGTTCCATTTGCATAACAAGAACTCGTGGCGCGAACTCGTTCCAAGATTGGGAAGGAATGCATCGCATGCTTTGGATGGCTGGCGTGGCGAAGTGTAATTTGTGAGTGGCAAACTTAGCCGCCAGGACTACCACATGTTTGCCCTACGAGCATAACATTTTAACATTTCTTGTTACTAATAAATGTTCTTCTGAGTTTGGAGGTAGAGTTTGAATTTCGTGCAGTGGCGATACAACGAGAACACCACAAGTGGCTCTCAACGTGCTATCCGAAAAACGGTAACAAGAGGAAGTTCTGTTCTAACCTTGAGGAAGACAAGTTCGCCTGTCGATACGTCGACTCGACACAACCCCTGTTAACGGATTTTTCATCCCGACGTGCACCTGGCTAATCTGACCAGCAGGATGGGTGCGTCGTCAAAATGACTCCTCGAGACAAGGAAATGCTTCCGCGTGGCCACCGCAGTGTAGTGTTCTGCATGGCGAGGGGACATACCGAGTTCACAGCAGACTGCGCAGCGAAGGGTGTGGCAGTCCCTACCATGAACTGCGGACAGTGGCCCGCACTCGCAGTTGGGCAAAATGACACGCGGACACAAAGTGTTGTGGAAGCTAGGACACCCGCAGCGCATGGTGACGAGCCTGGCGAGAAAATTGATTTGGTGGCCCGCGACATCCGTCACAGCCACGAGGCTGAACGTCGTAGGAGCGCAACAAGTGCAGCCGTCAGTAGTAACGGATCTTTTGGCTGCAGCTCATTGACAGAAGCATCAACCAATACCCCGCACTCGTCTCGGACATGAAGGCGAGCAACAGCAAAGCAGGGTCGTCGGCAGGCAAACCCTGATGGGACTAGAGAGCACGTAAGCGAAAGGAGCAATGAATGATGATGACTGTGAAGTTGAAAATTGTGAGCTGCACTACTGTATGGACGACTCTGCAGCGCTCGGCGACACGGCGCGTGATAGGCACGGCAAGGAAGACTACGGCAATGGCGCAGACAACAAAAAGACCGCTGTGGAATGTCCCACAGATCTACCACAGAAGCACCAGCCACCAAGATTCAAGGGGAGTTTGCGAGAGACTGGCATGGTGTGTGCCCAGGTGTGTTGGACAGTCAGCGGGGAGAAGGATAGTCTGTGAACGGCAAGTGTAGTGGTCGGGCGGAGTATGTTTGACATATGAGCGTAACAGTTCACCGTTTCTTGTTACTAATACTAAGTGTTTTTGTGAGTTTAGAGGTAGCGTTTTCCTTTCGTGCTGAGGCCAGACGACGAAAATCCCACAAATTTCAAGGTGGCGTTACCACCCGCCTTTTTTTATGTGTTTTCTTGCTCACCAGGTGTCTTCTCGTGGTTAGGAAGGCGATTTATAAGTTACAAAAGAAAAATTAACCAATATTGCTACGTACCAGTGGCATAGCAATCAACACAATGAAGAAGAGGGCAACAGCAGATAGACTGGCGCTAGCTCTTTGTATTGACAGCTCAGCTCAACTAACCAGTTGTAAATACATATATTCCCCCACGCCTGTGCCTGCTGGGTCAGTCTTCCTCGTAACAGTATGAAAAAAGAAAATAATTTTTCTCTTCAAATGGCCATGTGCTGGCCACGTTTCAAGATCTCTTTAGGTAAGAGTCTCACAGTCAACAATCTACCACAAGTGGGTAGGCTTAAAGGTTCCATGCTTCGGAAAAAACAAAATATTAACATTTTATTAAAGCTTCAATTCCCATTTTGGAAAAAAATGTGTCACTTCAGAGACAATATACCTAAAGGAAAAGGCATGCTCTGCATTCACAGTGTGTGGTCTCAATTAAATTAAGTCCAAGAAGTCACTTTGCTTTTTTTTTTTTTTTCAAAAAAGGAAGTCATTTTTCCTTCAACGAGCTCTAGAACAAAAGAAGGATTAGGACAGTCCGGTTAGTTTTCTAATGTAGAAGTATAACTGTGAAGGTTTGTGAATTCCAACTAGAGGTTCCTGAAGGTACTCCGCGTCGCGGCTTTCAAATGGTTCCGCCTGCAAGACCATCTCCGACGCGAGCTGTTTTCCGATCCTCCCCATGTGAAGCTTGCATGCTGCTACGTACTGCTTGTTTTCGCACAGCTGGGCAATGTCTTCCATATCTTCCACCTGAACATGGGAAGCAAAGGCCCAAATAAGGCAACACAGCAAAGTTCTCTGCATCCTCAGTAAATGCAGGCACGCTTCCCGACCTGTGAGCGTCTGAAATTAGTACGTAAACTTTCACCAACTTAATTTAGTGGGGGCGGGGAGCAAGGGGCATTCAGCTTTCGAGGCTTGCTTCGAGATTGTCTTTTCAGGCATGCGTCACTTTTTCATTATTATTAATTCACATTTACGTTTTCATGCAACACACAGGTACTCACAAACTTGGCACCACATAAACTGACCATGGTGACTTTTTCAGTGACTGCTTTTTGGGGATTCAGCATCCTTTAGAAACCTGTATTTGCGAGGCTTGTCCTTCAGCACAAGGTTTGGACATTCGCAAAAGCGACTTTCCTTTTACAACAAAATTTATTTCTCGAGGTTATTGACAGACAGAACTATAAGGTTGCCAGATAAGGGCAAATTTATATGCCTTATAAAGAGTTTGGGTGAGGTGGCAGGCTTGCTGAGAAGGAGAAAACAGAAATGTGACTTTGAGTAGGGTAGTGCTCTGTTTTGTACGTTCATGCACACATTCATGCTCTGTACACATACATGCTTTTCTTTTTCAAGCTGAGTGGCTTTACACTTTATCCAGCTTGAATAGTTGGACAAAAGAAACTAAGATAAAGGAGATTATTCTCTAAAGCAGTGGTTCTGAGCGATAGATGTGTCGGAGACCCTTTATGGACTGGTGGAACTGATGGGGGACTCCTTGAAACAGAGGGGAGGGAGGGGGAGCGTACGTAGATAAATTACCAACTGGAGTGTGAAACAAGTGCCGTTTATTGCTACCAAAAACATCAAACAAACGTGCCACATCACTTCATTTTGGACAGTTCATCAATGCGTGGCACAGTCGCGCTTGAAGTAAAATGCGAGTGAGGGTTTGCCGGATCATCGAAATGGCTTCGCGCACCCCCATTTAAGAACCACTGCTCGAAAGAAACAATATAAGATTTGCTGTCCAGTTTTTCTTAAATACCGCCCAGTTTCTGGCAGATCCTGCTAACATCGTTGGTTCTAGTAGTGAGGCCTACACGGTAATGCAAGTTTTTTAAGCTCAACCAGACATTTCCTGGCGGCTTCGTGCATGGTGTCGTTTTGTCTGAAGTTCCAGCTTGCCTGACATAAATTTTTGCTCCTTTGAAATAATAGCTTGCACAACATGACCAAAATAACGAGGTTGGTTGTTTATTTCAAATAACTATTTTATAACGAACTGACCACTCAATGGATATGTGTATCATACCTTGGGTGACCATTTCCACAAACCACTAAGGACATGAAAACTGAGTCTTAGAACTGGAACTGCTATGGTCCCTGAAACTAGAGATAATTTGCAACAACCACTGCACTACGTGTTGACATAAGCAGGCACACCTGACTTATGCGGTGGCATTCTCAGGTGGTTCTATTAATCAGAGAATGCCTTTGAACATAGAAATTTGCTGCAGCAACTGTTGGTAATGAAAAACGGAAGAAACATGCCCAAAAGACATCAACCGACTGCACCTCTTCTACCGTGAAGTTGCGGTACTCTCAGTCTGAGTGAGAACTTGTTGACTTGGGGTGAGTCAACTACCATCACGGTCCATCAAAGACATTCGGGAACCGTTGAACTATAAATGAGCATTTGTAATAAGTGGACAGTCAAGGATACTACTGCCAATAGGCAAGAGCAACTGTTGTTTTCCAAAGTCTGTAAGCTTGCCTTGCTTCTTCAACATTGAATCCTTCAACATTGAAAGGTGAGAAGCAGCTGGTGCCCTGTTTTGATTTCTTCGTGCAAGTTTAGCCGGTGTCGCCGCGCTCCGCTGATGTGACTAGGGAATTGGCCGACGAGAGGCTTTGAGCCCGACAAGGCATGAAACGGTGCCTTCGACAGATTATCGGAGGACTGTTGGTGTCGTTGCAGTGTGAATAGGTCGACGACAAGACAAAATACGCTCCCCCAAAGACAGTCAGTGGACCAAAATCAGTGTCGCGTCGCTCTAGTGTAAAAGCATGTTTACTAAGCTTAGAGATGATGGTGATATTGTCGGGCCATGTTTTAGCACCAAACCGCCGAGTCTACAATTCAGATTTTTGTTAAAATTTTCCCTGTTTTTTATTGGCAGCGGATAGCGATGAACAGACGAGAATCAACGACAAGAAGGCGGATGCGGAAAACAGATGCCATCATTGCCTTTTCTCACTTAGTAATGTTCTCAGTTTCTTTTTTTTTTCTTTTTTGCAGATCATGTTATCTATGAGGTTATGTGTCACTAACAAGCATATTTAAAAGCACGGACATGAGCAGAATGGCACACATCACCTCTGATCTACACAAACTTGGAGTACAGCATATTTGTTCTATCTGAGACCAGCTACCATCGACTTAACAGGCTGTCATGCAATCTTCATCTGTAATAAATGACTATTCATTATGTACGAGATCATTATAAGTGGGCTCGATTACAGAGCACTGGTCCTAGAGCTACCGTATGGTCTCTTTTTTCACAGATCCAATTAGGGACAGTTCGTCTCGTTCAGAAAACTACGGCCTCTCACTTCTGCATTTCAAGGGCAATGGGACATTGTTCCGCTCTCTTGACGCGACATCAATCACTAATGGCATCAGTCTTGGGCTGTGCCGTACGATAACCTATCTCTACTCCCTTATTGCATGTACTTCTAGGGACTGGAATGGCCTTCCCGGATCAATTGCCTCCATTCAGAACCCGTTTTGTTTTTGAGTATTAACAGCTAACACTGTACCATAAACATTCTTAATCCTTGTTAGTCTCACATCTACAGCTGCAACGCTGTTATGCCATACTAGCTATCATTGAAAAATCTTTTACAGGGCGGATGCTGGAGCTGATGATTTGACAAGCGAACTTGTCTTCCAAGACAAGTCCGCTTGTCCAATCATAAGCTCCAGCGCCCGCCCTGTTTACGGATTTTTTATCACAAGCTTCCATCTTAACCTTCCTACCATTTTTTGAACTAGCTATCATTGTATTTTTCATATTGTCTAGTTATTGCCATATAATCTGACATGTTCTATGTAAATGTCTTTGGGCTTGGGCACTAACAAATAAATAAATTAATTAATATTCACAGCTCAGGGCAGATGGTCTGCCTTACCTGTTCCTTTCCATAGATGGCCTGAAACTTGTCGGTGGTGAACGGACAGAGCCTGTTGTCCTGGACTTGAGCGCATCCGTGGGCGGTGTAGTCGACGCGCCTGCCCTCCTGGCCGTACATGTGTCGCACACTGTACGTGAGGCGCGACGTGTTTGCCTGCCACGTGTGGCTGCAAGTGGCCTGCTTGCCGGGAGGCTCGACGTAGTGCCGACTCCAGAACTCAATCGCCTCCTTCAAGTCCAGCCCGATCTCCTTCAGGAACAGCGAAAAGACGAACTGAAAGGAACAGACACAGTTGTACACAGTTCAAGAACACATTTTTAAAGGAGCATCGCCTCAAGCTTGGTTAAATAAATAACACATACCGTGGAAAGCAGATGCTGCTGTGAACAGCTTAGCCAGATCTTGAAGTCTTGCATGGCAAAAAATGTTTGCAAGCGGAGAAAAGTTTTCACTTTATCAAGTTCACTCTCTTATGGTCTTCATACAGTTCCCTCACTGTCTTCTTACAGAGCAAGCGCCCTTCTCCCACCAATTCTTTTCAACCTGTTCTCTGCTACATAATACTGCTGCAGCTGTTTCTGGAAATTCAAGTTTCGAGAGTCTTCAGATGTGTGCACAACGTATGAGTACTCTTACAGAGTGGCACTTTGGGAATGCACTCTGAGTTACCACAAATTGTCAGAATATTAAAGGGGTACTGGGGTACTGACACATTTCGCGGCAGATATAGCTTGCAGGATCGATTCCTGCGAACATGCGCATATCGTCTGCAAAATATCAGCAGCAAATACAGCTTGGAAGGTAATTGCAATAAATTTTGAAGTTTGCGTGGGCGATCGGCTCCACCGCGCCCTTGGGGACTTCGTACTTTCCTCATGTGACCACACCCGCAGTAAGTTATGACGTCATAGCCGCCATATTTCTTTTTTGTTGCGTATGCTCTCGCAGAGTATTACTCGACGTGTGCTCGCGAGTCCGTGGCCGCGGCACACCAGTTGAAAGTTTTGTGTTTCACGACATTGCTGTCTTGTTTCCTGTCCGAAAAAACTTCTTGATGCGAATTGCGCGGAAGTGCATCACAGTTCTGGGTGCTGACGTGGTCGGGCCTTGCACCGCTAGGTGGTGATGGTTGCACCCAGCGGCATGTCATTTTTGAAACCGAAATGACATTGGTCATAATAACAAGCCTGTAATTAATTATCTTGTGCCCTGCAGAAAGCAATGTGTCGTATTATGACTAACAAGCCCCCAGGAGCACATGCAGCAAAAAAAAAAAACGAGAGGCAAATTGTACTGTGTCAGTACCCCTTTAACATTTGAAGAACATATCCCCCAGCTTCATAACACATGGTATTTCACAAAAAGATTCTCTCCTGTTAAATAAAAATAGTAAATACATGCATATTCAATAAAGGATAACAAGTGCTTCTTTGTGGCTCAATCAGCCGCCATTTTGAATATTGGTACAGAAATGAGCAAAGGCCACACCTCCCTCCAAATCTTGTCCAATTATCTTTGACCACATGGTTGGCCCCTGCATGAGGTTTTATGGTAGGATGAAATTAGGATGCTTTACAAATGCTTCCCGGTTATCACACTTACTAAGCGTAACCGTTTCACACGAGCAAAGTGCTTGGCAGTGCTTTTACTACGAAACCAAACGTCGGCACCTCTTTAAAAGTGCTCTTGAACACTCCTTGAGTTTGAGCTTTTACAGTGTGCACAGGACTACAAAACAGTTGCTCCACTTTACCAGCGATCATGACTTTTACAGTGCACTTGAGGCCCGCAGCTAGGAGGTGTACCTCAGGGGCGCCCGAAATTTCGATGAAAGAGGGTGTTTTATCGAGGACAAATAATGAAAATTGGTTTTTCTCAAGGCCTTCAACAAGTGCCCCTTCCTTCCTGAAGAAATTCCTGTCAACAGATACGGTGCACTTGCCAACATTAGCCAAGATGACGGTATCTAGAAAAGTGGTAAGTCATGACCGAGTCCTCCAAAAGGAAAAGCCATGTGATCAAGTTAATTGAGTTAAGCAGACGACATAATCATGCATTCCAGCATCAGTAGTGCAGCTATGGTGTTAGAAAGGTCAGGGACTCACTCATAGTTACATTACAGCACTGCTGTGAAACATACATAGTGGCCACATTTTTCAAAGCGATCGCTTTCAGAGATACTTCTTCTTTTGCATAACACCAGATCTAACATGCAGCAGCTCAGTTCAGTAACAGGCATCACACACGATGCACGACTTGGACGCTTTTTCAATAGCTGGCACGTCGATAATTTTGTCCTCCCCATATTTAATTAATCCACACTCTATGCAATACCTATGTAATTGGACAAAAATACAATATTAAGAAGAATGTGCGATTTGTTGTGTTGCCAATACTAATAATTATTGTTGGGATTAACATACTAAAACCACAATAACATCATGCAAGACGGCGTACTGGAGGATTTCAGAAATTTCTACCACCTAGGGATTTGCAACATGCGCCTAAATCTAAGTGCACGGGTCTCTAGCATTCTCACCTCCATGGAAAATGCAAGTGCTGTGGCCCCGATTCGTTTCCGTGGACCTTAGGTTCAGCAGTAAAGCACTATAGCAAGACCACACTGGCAGGTGTGTTGCAATACTCTCCAACTGCTTCATGCCCTAAATTTCAGAGTACAGAATACAGTAGCTCCACTAAAATATACCTTACCACAAATATAGAGGATAAATCCTTAGGTAACCCCATTCATGATTCGAATTCATAATTTTTATAAGGTGCTCAAGTCAGATGGGGTAGAATGTGCCTGCTTGTTGCTTATTCGGGTCAATTTTTATGAACTATGTGATGCACGTCCCCATTACAGTAGCATTCCAATCACTCTTCATACAGCAACACTGATTAGAAATGGGAGCAACTCTTTTTATGCATTTTCTTAGCGAGTGAAAACGACAAAAAGCCCGTGCCGAATGTCGTAAAGTGGCGATGGTGAGCGAAACATGGAAAATTACCAGATGGTTTGCACCCATGCCACATCCACATACGTGATTTGTTAGCTATAGGGCATGCAACATGAACTGTAATGAAGAGCCTAAGGGGAAGAAACGGCATTATCCTGTACAGTGCCGAAAAAAGAGGGTTGAAGGAAGCAGTGTCGCCCTTGTGGCGAAAGCAGCAAGCACCCAGATATGGAAGCAGCGGCATGAGGGACCTTTGGATGATGATGGGAATGCCCCTCTCCTACCCCCACCGTGTGCGCACCCATGCTTACGGACAACCCCTTTGTCTAAAAGAAAATTCTAGTCTGCCTGCCAAGACAAGTAGGATCGAAGCTAGTTCAAAGTGAAGGGATGCTAAACTAATTGGTGCCTACTAGATTAGCTGCCCGACACAAGAGGACAGACCTCACATCACCGCCCCTTTCTGAACATTAGTGACGGTATCTTGGCACCACTCACTCGATGTTCGTGGGCAAGTCTCCTGTCCCTCTTCAAGGTGGCATACAATGCGGACATGCACGGCGGGAAGTACACGGCTGCCTGGCTGTCCACTTCGTCGGCTTTCAGCGGGCTACATGTCATGAAGTATCCTCGTTGTGCTTCAAAAGCAGCCTGCAAGTAATACGCATTAGCCACAGTAAGTACATCATCTGCCCGAGAGTACTGCGACTCCACTGCGGGGGCTACTCTAAACAGAGTCTACAGATGGCAGCTGACAGCTCTCTTGCAGTGTTCAAGATTTCTCACTTCACGTCTGAAACTCCACTAGTGTAAAGAAACACATCAAAACTGCGCATGATTCCTCTTTGAGTGATTGTGTTGCTGTATGAAAACACTAAACATTGCACACAACCATGTACTTTCACATATTTTACAGGATTTGCCAGATGAAAACGATTACTTGTAAAGCAGTGCACACAGACACAACACAAGAGGAACAAACAGACACGACAACGCTGCACTCGAAACTAAATTGCGGAGTGCAGTGGTTGTCCTGTCTTTTTAATCCCTCTTCGTGAGCTGCTTTGCAAGCCAACAAACCAATACAAACTCACCAAACTTTCAACAATACTGAGATGAAAATGACCCTTTCAACCATGTAACGACCTTCTTCCTGGGAAAGAACCGCATAAAGCATTCAGTATTCCAACTAAATAGAATTGTTATAGAAAGCAAAGTGGTTAAGGATACCATAAAAGTCTAGATTACAGAAATAAAAGCGATGATTTGCCATAACAACCGTAATTAATTGAGACACGACTGCATTATGCATGCCTTCTTTCTTAGCAGCAGAGCTAAAATAGTGGGAGCCACAGTAACAACAACAGCCACTGAACAATTTTCTGCAATCTCAAAGGCCATAGTTCTGCTTGCTTGGTTCCACTGGATTCCTCTAGATGGTACCACCTATCCAGCCTATCCAGCCGAAAACTGAACTTTTGAACTACTCGCACCATTACCCATAGAATGCCGGGCTTTTTATTTTTCTATTAATCAAACAGAAACACACAAGCAGCATTTTATTACATCTCTTGATGCACCAAAAGTTCTTTTTTTATGGAGCTAGTTTGATTACTAGTGTAGGCGGGCGCTCTCACGTCATCAGGATCATTTTGCAAATGTCCCACTGGTGGGGCATGTTGTGTGATACATTTAGCTTAATTTCTTGGTAAGTAAGGCACTGCTGTTGATAATATTGCCGTTTCATACATCGTCATACATTGAGCTTCAACTCCGACATAAATTGTCCTTTGCCTTTAGTGTCCCTTTAACTGGAGCTCAACCATTTTGGAGGCATAATGGACAAGTCGGCATAGTGTAATCTGGTCTTGGTTTTTGAGAAATCGTACCTATGCAAACAGGAAAGTGACGACAAACCGAGAAAGAAAAACTGTAAGTACTCATAGTGACATCTAACTGTAGCATTTATACTGACATCAAGCTGCCTCGAGCAGCCTTTAGCCTTGAGGACCATCCAAAACTTTCTGGTGAAACAACCTTTCGAAATATCGATTAATTTACCTCCTCTTCTCTTCTTCATCTCCATCTTTATATTCACCCCACCTGAGTTGCAGTCAAAAAATGAGAAGATGAACCTTGTGGGCTATCCAGAAGACGAGGAAATTGTTATAATATGACTCGAAACCAAAGATTACTGAAGAGCCCTTTTGTTAGCCTTACAACAAAAGGAAGGTATGCGACACAAAAATGTCAGTGACATGGCCACGACAGCACGAAGACATGGGTGGCTTGATAGACAGATAGGTACAGTCAGTGCCTCTGCATCACCGAAGAATGCTTCACACTTGTAACTGTCGTCCACAAGTCCACACCACTGTCATCTTTTCCCTGTCTTGAGATTACCACAATATTTTTTTTCAATCACATGTTCTGCGGACGTTGCCTCCATGTTCCCTTTGAGAGACGCACTTTGTTAGACACAATCAAATTAATCCAGCAGACTAACTGCATGTTGGATTTGTTTGGTCGTGTCTAACAAAGAAACAAGCCCCTTCATAAAACATTCCCTTGGTATTATTCATTTACAGCGTGGAGCTGACCACGGAAAACTCAATGCAGTGGGATAGTATGCAAGTTCTTGCTGCTCAACAGCCAGCTTGCGTAAAAGTAAAGTGCCTTTTGACGGCCTCTGGCAAGAACGAGTATTCCACACTCGCCGCCTTTACTACAAACAGATATGGTTAACACTCCCAAGGATTACACGTACAGAAATAACCAACAAACTGAACGGAGAAGCATCTTCCGTTATAGCTCAATTAGTAGAGCATCGGACACGTAATTACTACCTTGGAGGTTCTGATTCCACTGAGGACGGTGAGAATATTTCATCCACATTAAATCGATTCAATTTATGTCACATTTGCTACACTGAATTTAAAGACAAAAATTAATGCCTGCTACCCTTTAGTCGGCCTGATTCTCTGTTGGATTTGTTTAGCTGTGTCATCAAGTCATCTTATTACCATCATAACACGAGCATGTTCATTTCACTACAGTTAAACAACTTTCTTGATTGTAAACCTTTTCCAACACAGAAGGTTTCCGCATGACACATTTTCCAAACTTTCATTCCCGCAATAGCAATCATATGGACACTCTCGGCAGCTCCTTGCCGTCAGCGTCGCCGTACTGTTCCGGAACATATATATCGTCTACAAAACCCACACAAAAAAGAAGTTCATTCCAAAGCATGCAACAAAGTAGCTCAACCTGCAACCCCTCATCTTGTGGTGTAACGTTTTGAACCTCTCGACTATAACGCATAAATCATCCAGCATTTTGATGGCAAGCTATTTACGTACACTAACTAACGTTGGTGGTATGCACATCTCCGAGGTGCTTGTTCACCATCAGAGACATGTTCACCATCAGAGACATGTTCACCATCCCTTGCGAAATGGCGCAAGGGGCCAAAGTGTGCCCTAGAGCTTCGCCCCGTCCTTTTTTCTTAACCGTAGTGGGGCTACACCTTTAGCTCCATACTTTGTCTTACAGGGCCTGTGGTTGCATGCTCATCTCTTTCATTGCATTGTTGGCGCTGAAGCCGTACAGCGCACAAAGGTCGCTTTGCTTGCCGCAGCGGCCGTGCTTATCAAAGATTCATTGTTTTGCTCCTGCAGCAAAACCATGGCATTTGTTCTTACCCTCAAAGATTTCCGAAGTTCCGCCATCCTCTCATCCTGGTGCAGCGTGCGAAATCGAGCCGACCTCTTGAAGTGTGCGGTGCCTTGCTCGCACGCTGCCTGGAACATGCCCGCAAGGAACTCGGAAAGGTGGTGCTCTTGAATGACGGCATCGCCCGCTTGCAGAATGACCCGTCGAGCACTCACAAGGGAGAGGGCATGCTCGAATGGCACTGCAAGATAGGGAGTACACCCGCGCCAACATGGTCACACTTGATGCTGGTTCACTGATTGTCACCTATCGATTGATTAGATGAAATGATGATTTACATAAGGAAACATTACAGCAGGTATGAAAGAAACCACAGTGAGGTGGCTTCGAATTACCATAAACTCACGTAAGAACCACAACTCGCACTTGGCAGCCAGAAATCGGAAAAAAAAAGGCTGGCTCTCCAGTAATCAAAAGTAGATCTAAGCATGAAGGGGATGCTGGCAAAATATACTGGTTGGAGATTATTACAGCCACACCGCTAAAATAGGTATGGCCCATGTTTGCATGGCCACACCACAACATACTGCCGTGCACTGGTCTGTGTGCACGCCATTGTTTTTGGTCCTTGTGTGGTATAAACTTCTGGGCGTTGCATAGCATATGCTGCCATGGCGGGACACAGACATCAAAGCTCGCTTGGCTGGAACAAACTTACTTGGGACTTGACCGCATAAAACTCTCGTCTCTCCCAAATTCAATACACGAGGCATGATCACACAGCATGGCACTGTCTCTACGAGGCAGCTCAACTTACCCGCGCTGGCCTCTTAGCACCGATGACCAAGTTCCAGTGCAAAAGGATAAAGATCAAGAGTATAGCGTTGTGTACCTGTTGTTGGTACACATCTATTATCTGCTTTTGGAACATCATTACTGCAATCACAGATATAAATTTATGAATATTAGACGCAAAAGCTTCAGTGATATTGTGACCATTAAGCAGAACTTGAAAACCATAATATTTTAAAACATGGCTGGGCACGAACTAGCATAGGTAATGAAGTCCCGTAGAAAGGGTGCAAGCCAGAGACCACATTGTTTTCTAACCTTTCGTTAGATGCCCGGATACATTCAATTTTTTCTTGTGTGAGAGCTAGATGTTATCACGTGAATTCCCATATATCCTTGAATGAGTGGCAGCATGTTCTTGGTTAAGTGCCAGGCTGTCTCATTAGAAGTGTCAAGAAAAGCATTTCATGGTTAACAGTTTGGCAGACAACTAAAATAAAGAAACACATTCCAACCAGTGCATTCGAAATACTAGCAATGAAGAGCACAGCCCACTGGTAAAGGGAACACCTAAACGAAGTACCTTTTGTACTGCTGAGCCCTTAATTGCAAAGGGATATGAAAACATCATTCAGAAATATTCGCTTAAAAGGAATCAGAGCTGTTCTCTCCCAGCATTCTTACACAGTTAAGCCACTATGCTTTTGCGTGACAACAAAATCACGATAGGCACTGCATAGAAGTATTCCCTTTAAGAGTGGACCGATCTGTACAGTCTAACGCATTTCTAATCATTGTTATGAGCATTACATGTCACCATAGGTCTCTACTGCCATGGAACATGACGGAAAGGGCCCATCATCAAGCCCTCCTAAATACTTCCGTTAATCACTGGAAGTGTAGGTTGTCTGAAAAACACTTCCCCAAAGCAGTTCACTAACGAAAAAACTGACGTGTCCTTGTCCTGTTACCATGCTTCTAGGAGGAAAGTCCTCGTTAATAGGGCGCACTCTCTTCCCCCATTTGCCGTAGCTAGTGTCCACAAGCGGTGAAGCCCGCAGCCATTCTCTCGCATGCCGAGAGAGAGAGCAAGCATGTTTTGTTGATGTGACATGCCTTACACCCGTTTACAGAGAGACTGTATGTGGCTAGGTAAAATCAAAACTAATTCTTCCTATTTATTCTAAAACTCCCAGCACATAGCATGTGCCAGAGAAACTGGGCAAGTGTCACTGCTTACCAGTGGTCTACTAAAGATGAGATTGTCCTCGAGCGAAAAGACATGTGCCAAAGAAATTGGTCAAATTCCACCACACACCACTGGTCCAGCGAAATGAAGGGAACACACAGGCAGAAAATGCTAAATGATTTCTGGACAGACAAAACTAGTCATTGAGAAATACCTCAGTGAACTGTCGCAACGAACCTAATGATAAACACTAGGGGCTGCACACTTTAGCTTCGCTGCTTAAACATCTGTCCAGAGGGTTTGTGTGGTGGTTTATCTTCTTCTTTCTATGTACTTTGGTTCTCGATGCTCGCATTGAAAGAGCCCACATCACATGCCATGGCCAGTGAAGTTTCATGACCGGCTTTGGACTCTCCGAACTAGTACCTGTTGCATAAGAATATGTACATGCACATCGTCTTTCCCTCTATATCTCAAGGAGCCATTCTAGCAAAAAGGACAGCATGACCTTCCAGATACAGTTTTGACCCTTTTATCATCGTGCATGCATTCCGTAATTTCCACACACAATCACTACAGAGTGATCTATGCCCTACGCTTGTTTGTTTACAATGCAATATATATTTTTTTTCAATGCATGAAAGGATGGTGAATCATGCAGAACTGGCAGCCACAGCAAAGATGTGCAGTCAATTGTGCAGAACGCGTGAAAGAATAAATTCATTATGAAAGGGCAGCACTCACTTTTGTGGTGGTGTGTGACGACGGAACAACATGGCAAATTACACTGCATAACGCTAGCAGCCAGAAAAAGAATGAAAGGCCTGGTTCCCGCGTAAGTGCAGGATGCAGCCTATTCAAGATTGTTGAAAAGAAGAAACTTGTAGTGGCAATTAATAGAGTGTAAGAGGGTTTCGACTGCCTGTGTTTGATTAGCGTGCGCTCAGGCCGCAGCCATCTCACTGTGGCTTTTCAATTGTGCTCTTCATGTGTTAAATGAGAAATAAAGACTGAGTGACTGATTGACTAATTGAAGCTGTGCTCTTACCATTAACAGAAAATTGTTTGGCTTCAACGATGCGAGGCCAGTTCTTTAGCATGGCATCGAGAACCCTGGTCAGTGTCGTCAGAACATCACGAAACTGCTGGCTAACGTGGCACTTCAGCAGTTCATTAGATTCGGAGAAGGCACGCTCGATGATGGCTCTGCGCTCGTCCCAGTTCAGCGCCTCAAATCGACACTGGAACAGCATTGACTCGGCCTGTACTACAGTGTTGAGGGCAGACTTGAATGGGCACAGCAACAACCTGCAAATGAGGTGCATAAGGTGTTAAATTATGGAAAATTCAAACAAGGCAGAAGTTTGCGCGAAAGAGGTGAAGCTCAAAGTGACAAGAAATTGTTGAACGGGGAATTTTGTCACTGGCAGTAGCATAGCCAGAACTTTTTTTCGAGTGAAGGAGAGAGGGTAACCATACTTTATGTATCTTTGTGCAGCATTTGTATGTGTGGGTGTACATATTAAAGAACTGATAAGCAAACATGTCTTGGTACTTCTCTTTAACTGGACTCATCAAAAACAAATCCTCTTGTGAAAATGTTGGCTACAGCGACGAGCTCTATGTTCAATACATACTTCAAAAGGAATGCCCTCAAAAAAAAAAAAAAAAAACGAGTCATACTTAGTTGTCAAGCACAACCACTGGCATAGTGAATGTGAAACAGTGTAAAAAACAACAACAAAAAAAAAAAACAGGCAGGATTGGGCACTGACTACCAACAATGCCGTTTCTTTTATAATATGGCCACAGTGACAATACGAAATTGCTGTTTGAAATGTGCTTCCTGACCTTTCCTTTCAGACTCTGCCTTTTCCATAAACCCTCACATGCCCTTCTAAGCTGCTGCTACATCACTGTGCGTCATCGTGATTGACTATGTCATTTCAGTTGTTCCTCTCCTTCCGCAGCACTGCCAGTACCAATGAATAAAATGCATACAATAAAAATATGTTCACACTGTACAGTAACTGCCTATCTCTATTTGGAAATTTCACAAGGTAATGTAAATGGCCATCATAAATGTTTGCTTTTCTTTTTTTTCTCAATAATAAACGGTATACGTGTGACTTAAGCTAGACCAGGAAGCTTTAGTAATTGCTTTGATGCTCAATCCATTTACTATGACAGGAGAAAGCTGTCATGCATCACCGTTTTCAGAACTTCCATTGTGATTATTCATTCAAACAGTCATTCATGGATGCCAAGACTTAGACTAGAGGTCGGCGCACTTGCCTTGAAGCCGCGTGGTGCTACAGGGTATTATTTGCTAGCAACAGCACTGGGCAGAGTCTCGTTTTTCTTCCTCATATGATCACTAGTCGCTACTATGGCATCGCCGTCATGCGCGCATGGCTGCGCACCTGCACCGCGAAAGGACACGTGCCGCTCGAAACTGTCTTGCAGCCACACCTGAATTGAGTGACAACAAGCTTTGAGTCTGAATATGACAGCATCTTAGCTTCAAGCTCCCAAGGCGACAATGTTTTGCGTCACTGTGGAACATCCGCTGATCATATTACGACGATCAAGCAGTACAGAATGACAGAAAGAGCATACTAAAACAGCGAACATGGGTTTAAGCCATGTCTCTGCTTTTGGTTCTTTCAGAGTAACAGCATTAACAATATACAGCAATCGGCACCGTGTCTGTGCTTACTGGCACAAACTTCGTTTTTCTAGTATTAGGTACAGTTTCTGAAAAACAGACATATTTTGTTCAGACAGTGCCAAAAATGAGGCAACCGTACAATTTAGTGAGAAGCTTGAGAAACAGCAACACATACAGGGATCTGAACTCTGGCAAGATCTGGAAAACTTTCTCACCTAAGGAAAAAGTGAGAAACGCTGTCCTGCCGACTCCCTTCGACGAGGCACTCGTGGCAAGTGTCCTCTTGCTCGAGAACACTGCGGACAGTATCAATGTTACCCTCACACCGGGCAATCTTCATCATAATGGCCAGCCTAAGGTGGCATAAGTTGCACAGGAGTTCCAGATCAACATTACCATCTGGATATGCGAGGTAAAACACCATCTGAAAGGAAAACGGTTAATGTGACATTTATAAACCCGTTCCAAGAAACTGCTTGTAGTCATAGCTGCCACAACTCACTACCGCTGCCTCGATCTAAATATTTGCAATGCTGTGACGTCAGACTTCACTGCAATCTACAATAAGTTACAGACAGTTTACTCATTTGTTTTGTCGCATAAAAAAACATGACTCATAGCCACAAGGGGGACTGGTCAAACTGTCCCTCATAAAGGATACTTAAAGGCTATGCCACATTAAAAATAAAGCATAGAGACGGACGATACGTAATTTAAACTTGAAAAAAAAAAGTGAAAAAAGCAATAGGATTCGAAAAGCCAGAGTAAAAAGTTTAACAGCTTCAGATCCTTCTCCCCCCCCCCCCTTTTTTTTTTGATCGACGTAATGCAGATCGTTTGACGATCAATCTTCCGAAGACCTTCGTGCAACTGAGCCAGCACCTCCTCTATTTTTTTTTTTTTTAATAAAGGAGGCGCTGAATGAGCACAGTCATTAATCAATAGTATATGTATGACTTGGGACAACCTGAACTTTTGCACTGATGCATGGCCCCAATGTCACACGAGCAAAAACAGCGTACGGCATTCTTTTCTTGCTTGGTTGTTTTACATCTTCAGCATATGGGTTCGTACGCGCACATTCTGATTAAATTGGCGCCAGCCTTGAATTACTGTGTCAGTTGTCCTTCCGCAATAAAAACTTCGTTCTTTTGAAGTGGAATGTCTAAAACCATCGTAACATATTTACTTATAGTCTTATCTTTCACGGTAATTCATACTACAGACGCTCCAAAACGGGTCGCTGATGAAAGTTTAAAAGGGCAGTTTTTTTAAAAGAGACTATGCTTACTTTCGGAAACCTGGCATGGGCGCTGACGGCTTACTTCTGGCTTTCTCGCCCTGCTGCATCGCACCTGCACGGCATACTCGCATAAATGTGGTGCATGTCGTTCGTGAGGCCGTTACGACCACGTTACGGCGTTCGTCTTCCCGCGCCGATTCGCGCACAGCGGCGTGACAAAGGCGACAATGCAACCAGTTGCAACGCGCTTGAAAATCAAAAGCTGCCTGTCAACCAGAGATGCCAACCACGCTGCCAACAAGCTGCACCGAGCCAAGAAAGAGTCGACGCGAGTCAAACCGAAGCTTACGGCTGCAAATTGGTCTTTCGTCGACTTGCGGCTATTTACGTTTTTTTATTGAATGTATTTTTTACACTGTTGCCTTTCATCTACATTTAAAAAATAGTAGCAACTAAAATTTTATTGTGAAACCGGTTATGTTGTGGTATTACGTGCTTAGGGTGACGTTTTATAAGAAGCACTACTAAATCTCAAAGGCTATGTTTCTGCAGGTTTCATACGCCGAAAGACAATTGTAAGCATAGATGTTTGTAACAAACAAAAATACGTCACCACAGCGATGTACCTACGCGACTTGTACTACTGAGTATTAAGGGCAGGTTCTAAAGCCTTTCAGAAGCGCCTTTTGTAATTTCAACGTCAAGGTGATTAAACAGGTGCTGTCACTTTGTGGTCAGAGCTGTGGCAATATTAATTCAGCCTTCAAGACTTGTGACGCTTGCAGGTGCCGCCATCTCTCGCGCTGACAAGCACCTTCAGCTGGTAGGTGTTCTTAGTCTGGAGCAGTAGTAGAGTCTAGACACTGTCGCAGTGGGTTGATATGTAGGGTTTAACGTCCCAAAACCATTATATGATTATGAGAGACGCCGTAGTGGAAGGCTCTGGAAATTTCGACCACCTGGAGTTCTTTAACGTGCATCCAAATCTGAGCACTCGGGCCTACTGCATTTCCGCCTCCATCGAAAACTAGAGCAGTGGGTTGTTGCATGCATTTAAAGTTTAGGTATTCTCTTGCCAGGCCACTGCTGCAGCGCCGTTGGTCCCGTCCTGGCCAGGAAATCTTACGCGACGTCGAGTGCCTGTTGTAGGTTTTTCTCCAGCTTGCCAAGAAAAAAAAAAAAAAAAACCCTTTGCCGGCCATGTGGTGATTAACGAGCTGCTTGGATAGATTGTAGTACATTGCAATGTTAAATAAAGCCCCTAAATCATCGTACGATGTTTTAGGAACTTTAATGTAAGAAAAAGCGGGGACGACGCCAACCTCTGCGGTGCGCTAACGTTACCCAGAGTCAAACCCGTAGCCAGGAATTTTGGGTGGAGGGGGGGGGGGGGGCGACGACACATGTTGAGTTCTTGAAAAACATCTATTTTCATAATTTTTTGCTGGTTAAACACTTCTTCCTTCCGAAGTTCGAAGGGGGGAGGGGGGAATGTAAGCTCTTCTTGCTACGGGCCTGCCCAGTGTGTATTCCTTGCTCTTGATTGATTGATATGTGGGGTTTAACGTCCCAAAACCACTATATGATTATGAGAGACGCCGTAGTGGAGGGCTCCGGAAATTTCGACCACCTGGGGTTCTTTAACGTGCACCCAAATCTGAGCACACGGGCCTACAACATTTCCGCCTCCATCGGAAATGCAGCCGTATTCCTTGCTCTTGATTGGACGAATATACTGGCTGCAGCCTTTCGATCTACCAGGAAATACTTGCGAGTGCTTGTCTGGAATGTCGCTTTTGGTCTTGTCAGAAGGTTAACTGTCTTGGAAAACACAACAGTAGTTTGTTTTGACTCGAGGAAAAAAATGCATTTTTGCTGGTCTTGCAGAAACAAAAAGTGGCGTGCGTGTGCTCGAGTGGTCGGGTGATTAGAAAAAAATATGTAGATACACAGATGAGAACATGCGCAGGAACATACATAAAAGGTACCGCCCCCCCCCCCCCCTCTTTCCTATCTGTTCGAAAGAAATATCTGGCTATGCCCCTGCGTAGTTGCATGCTCTGCACGTCGTTTAATGCCCTGAGCCGTGCGAGCAGTTCCTAGATTGCAGCGTAAACACCCCTGTAGCTCCACCGACGATTCCAAACAATAAATGAAGGTAAACCATGAATAGCTGGATCCAGGCCAGCTTTGCGCAGATCGCAACTAACCCACAGAAGGAGAGAAAAAAATATGAAAACTAGGTGACTTCTCCGTAAGCACCCCTTCTTTTGAAAGCTGACACGACTTTAGCGCCTGGGCGTGATTAGCTTATGGGGTCCCTGGATTAGCCGGGTGGCACGGGGTCTTCCCTACGTCTTCTCTGGACCAAAATAAAGTTATTGATTTCATTGAATGATATGTGTGGTGTAACGTCCCAAAACCATGATATGATTACGCCGTAGTGGAGGGCTCCGGAAATTTCGACCACTTGGGGTTCTTTAACGTGCACCCAAATCTGAGCACACGGGCCTACAACATTTCCGCCACCATCGGAAATGCAGCCGTCGCCGCCGGGATTCGATCCCACTACCTGCAGGTCAGCAGCCGAGTACCTTAGCCACTAGACCCCCACGGCGGTGCGAAATGAAGTTATAATCATCATCATAGGGTTGGAGGGCAATCGCGGGCACGTTCTTTAAATGATTTGACTTGTGCTCTATTCCTCCACATTCGCATTTTGCTCTTCTGCAAAATAACAGTCACGTGGACATCAGCGGTTTTGTTCTACTTTGTACATCCCCACGCATCCCCCCCCCCCTTTTTTTTTACCTATGTTTTTTGAAACAAGGGAACCTCCCACCTTCAGTCACAAGTCTTTATACCATAAGTGTCTCTCGTATGTTCACGAGCTGTGCTATTCGCTGTCATGAACCAAAACGAACTCGCCAAATATTTTTACTCTTCTTGTTCGCGAAGTATATTTTTAAAATATTCCTTCACCTCAGAAAAATAAAGCAGATACATCGCAAAAAATTTAGACAAAATGGAGCAATTTATTTTTATTAGTTATAAAAAGTATTGCGAGACGAGAATTTCTCAAACCTGACTTAATTGTGCAGGTAAAAATTTTTTGAGATAGAATCCGAGAACTCCCGCTTACGTCTTTTACTTTTTTTAGAAGGCACGTAAATTGCATAACATGTCGATAAATTTACCCTCACGTGAGCGCGAGAAATCGTTGCCCCCATAAAGTTTCATACTTGAACTTTATGGTTGTCCCTGGCGGCCTGACGTATCGGATATGCATGACGAGAGAGAGAAAGAAAAAAAGAGGGGGGGGAGGAAAAAGAGTTTATTACGACATAATTTCTACGCGGACAGGTGGAGATATAAAAGACAGAAAATACTAAGTGAACGGATTTGTAGCCAAGCGTAGCAGTAGATAGACATAGGGTACCACATCCATTGAGCAGCTAACCAGTGACCTTTAGGGCAGATATATAGCAAGTGGTAATAAAGGAACTAAGGAATCAAGGAACTAAGAGAAGAAAGAAAAACAAAACTTGCTATGGGCACTCGAAGGGTGGTCAATTTATGGTACAGAGAAGTAAATGAGAGGATAGAGTATAGTAATATTATGTAGGATGAAAAAACTGCATATATTACCTCATTAATTGTTTAACAAAATTTTCATTAATAAACCTATGAGAGCTTAATTAAGGGTGACGTAGCTTTAAAGCATAATTGATCAGTTTATACACTCCAGACTGATTTGGTACGTTAATATGTGTCCATTTAAGGCCCGCAAATGGTTGATTTAACGAAGCGGCCAATCAGAGAGCTTTAGAAACTCCAAGCTCTTGCTTTTTTTTTTGATACTTTTCTTTGGACGAACGAAGAAACAGAGAGCACGCGGGAACGCAAGGGTTCGGGGACCAACCGGCTACAAGTAACTGCCACTAAAACTATATATTAGAGCCTTGATGCCACCAGACTCTATTAGAAAGCCATAGTACCGGGCACTCGTATGGGCTGTATGCAGAATTTTTTTTTTTTTTAGGAGGGGTTGGGGGAGGGGGCACCTCGTGATCTAAAACGGGGGCCGGACAGGCAAATGATCATCTTGGGCTAAGGCAAAAAAAAAAAAAAAATCGGCGGGGGTGGGGCACGGCTTTGCGTTGTGTTGCTCCCTGGCTAAGCCACTTTCCCTAGCCATTGTTTCCCCGCGTTTTCGCGTTCTTTCATCCCCGCTATACAAATGAGAGTTTTGGTTCCGGAGACCCCAAGCGTGTCACACGCTCGTGAGTTCCTTTGTACTCCCAGTAGCGTATGCGCAAGCCGCTATGCACCAACTGCCTACCGACAGCACGCAAGCAGCACGCAAGCGTTACACGCCGATCTTCCGCGCTGTTTCATTCGCAAGGTGTACGCAGGTCAACGCGCATGCATTCGCTGCAATAGTCAGCACATCATCTTCATTTCAAACCCAGTGAGAAACGCCCCTGCGCTTCCGGCATAGCCCATGGACGTGCATACAACGTGGGATGCTGCTCTCACGTCTGCAGAACGTGTCTTCCTGTTGCCGGCATACGCGCAGGTGACGCAATCCAGCTGGTCATCACGTGTCACGCGGGCCGCGGCTTGAGGAGGTGTCGACTGCAGGAACCGGGAAGGGGAAGATGTGCGTCGAGATGCGAGGACGGTGAAAATACGACGTGTGCTGCCGGGGGCGGGCGCGTCACTGTCATGGTCAGCCCGCGGCCGCCCAGCTCCCAAGGTCGTCTCCGTTTGAACGAGTATGGCCCCTCTCTCCTTCCTCTTACCCATCGAGTCTGGCGTTCACGCCTCCGACACCTCGCGCCTCCACACTTCGTCTGGCTGGTGTTTCGCCAGCTGTAGCGGCGACATCGGCAGGTTGCAATGGAAGAACGGAACGCCTATATCGTGCGTGGGCATGCCTCATTGAGATCGCTTCGGTATGAATCGTCGATTATTCATCACCATTTGTGAGGAGCCGTAATTAGCCGGCGCAACTCCACCTGTGGTCTCTTCCGATCGGATTCCTTTATAGTCTGTGCTTTGTAGCAAGCGCCACCACCTGGCGAACGCAGATTGGGTTCTTTCTTCACCACATTCCTCTTTCTTTCATAAGTCTTTGTGTATCGCAGTGTACACGATCATCTTGTTCATCATTACGTCATATTTCTTTTTTTGTCTCTTTTTGTGTTGTACTCACTCCTCCTCTCCCTGCTCGTTACCCTCACGATCACTTCTGTTTCCCGCGCCTTGCTACTCTACACTACAGTACATGGCT